AAACTTGGCGAAAAATAAACCCCCAACTGGAGTGTAGAGATCCCCAGGTCCCGTACGTTGGGGTCCCTTCTATAAAGATTTCCTTCACTTACGGTAGTTAGACCCGTGAAACTCGGTTGTACTTAATACCTATGTCGAGAGTTGTGTGTTGTGCTTCTATGAAAAATGTCGATCATTTATGCGTATGTTCACCACGAGAGAGAGAAGAGATAGAGAGAGAGAGCATCGGGAGAGACGAGCGAGCGGAGTGGTTCACACAGGGAGGGCACCGCTCCTAGCCGGAACGCAAATTTTTTATTTAGTTTGTATCGGATAACATTTCACCCCACCTGTTGTTTGCCTAAAGCTTTTCACAGTGTCAAATTTGAGGAATACTTCCCACTTCCACGGCGAGGTTGTAACGAAAGAAGGGCCGCGTTGCGAAGAAAACCCTGAAAAAGGCCACCGGCGACAGCAACCACCGAGTTCAGGAACGTATCCACCCCCAGGCCCTGAAGTGTCGCGGCGTCTTGTCGGTAAAACTTACATGTGCGAGGTCGGTTCCGTTCGTTCGTTAATAATATATCGTGAAAAGTCGTGACCGCTAAGTTTCACGAAATGTCTAATTTCGTCGTGTCTAACTACGCCACGTCTTCCAAATATATTACGGTGCCAAGGCCCCCTTCCAGACTCTAATTGTAATTTGGTTAATAATAATTAAAATTGATATAATCAATACGTTTGTGTCGTGGGCTGGGCGTAGTAAACAAAATTGCATACATTTCTTTAGTAAACACTGAAAACGGGTCCCACAGACCCAAACAGTACACAAAGGTTAAAGGTAAGCATATCATAATGTTAAAATGTGCTAAATATATACACTGCAAAAAACAAAAAAAAGAGGAGAAAAAGTAGCTCACGACTTGTTTTATTTTTTTAAAGTAGTTCTCATCCTAAAAAAGGTTGGAGACCCCTGTTATAGAACGATACATTTTTTTTTTATACAATTTTAAGCTTAGCCTACCATTTTATTGGAGCGATGAGGAACAGATGGGGCTTGAAAAGGCCCACCTGTTCAAAGTGGGGAATGACAGACAAGTTTGAGATCCACTGGCTTAGCACATAGACAGAAAACAGGAAAACAGCAGGCATGACTCTATCCAAAAGTAACAAATTCACCCAATTAGCACCTCTATTTCGTGAAGTAACTTCCTAGAGACTTGTTATCACGGTTGTCAAGGGAACCACTGGATAATCCAGATAGTTACTGCGTGTAGGTAGAAATAGACTTAACCCTCTTTGAACCCACAATGTGCTGTAATAAATAAAATAAAGTGTATTGTTAATCTACACTGCAGAGGAGCTGAAGGTAGCATATTTTTTTAACCTTTGGACGGTGCCAGAGGGCTTCCACTCTCTATGCTAAGAACAACTGGCTGCTTTATATTTAATGAACACATAGTTATAATTCCACCAAAGTCTCTGAAAAAATTAGTATATTTGTATACGACAATTTCAAACTTTTCATCATAATACTTATTAACATTTTAGAAGTAGTTTATAAATAATACCCAAATATGGTTTAAGGCTTTAATGGTAATTGTATACCAGTGTGTGACAGCAGGAACTTTTGTGGGATCGGTGGGCAGGTGGGAGCACTCGGGTATTGAACTGCACATGTATTACTTTCTGATTCAACACCACTACTGTCAGCCTTCACAGATTCTGCTGACAGCAACACAACTAGATTCCTGCCTTTTTTCAAACACTACCGCAGAACAAGACACATGTGGGTAGTGAGGAGAGAAGAGGCAATTGGGGTTGCAGCTTGAATAGGGGATTCACTTTACAACAGTGATATGTTAGATTTCTGCCAGAGTCAGTGGCCTATGTGTATCAAATAATGGAAAACATTGCAGAACCTACCACAAGAGACATCTTTAAAGACAGATGAAACATTTTCCTATCAGACAAATAGGTTGAACACCAGAGTACACCGTGTAATGAGAACCATGTAGAATCAATAGATTCTTAAAATGTGACTGATTTGATTTAGTCTACAAGCAAGCTACCAAATGTATACGCACTTCCCACAGATGATTGCTTTTAGATGGAAATGGGTTGGACATGGTCCAAGGAAAAGAAGATATCCCTGAAGATTGTTTGTTTCATTTTTATTGAAAAAGTTTCTCTTGCAGCCTGTGTTGGAACATTTACCAATTTGCACTGCTACAAGGTCGCACCAATTGTCAACAAGTCCTCAATGGCGTCTGGGAGAAGACATATTGTGTAGTAACAAGAGGCCCTTCGTCAGGTAAACATATGTTGTTGTAGGTGTTCAAACAAATCACTAGATCAATCAATCAATGTTTATTTATATAGCCCAATATCACAAATGTTACATTTGTCTCAGTGGACTTCACAGTTTGTACAGAATATCAGTATGACAATACGACACCCTCTGTCCTTAGACCCTCACATCGTACAAAGAAAAACTTCCAGAGAAAACCCACAGTTTAAAGGGAAAAATGGGAGAAACCTCAGGGAGAGCAAGATCCCTCTCCCAGGACGGGCTAAAGTGTTCGAGGTTGGAAGTGAGCTGCACTGCATGCGCTGCTTGGTTGAGTGTAGATCTGACTACATGTTCTGGTAGGTTGCGAAGGAGCGTGCAAAGGTAAGGTCTTCAAAAAATACTATTCATTCATACATAGTTTCATTGCTGCCGACAATGGGGATGCATGTACGTTGTGCTTAAAAGTTTGCCCTAGCACATGCCCGAATAAGAATAAAATCAGCAAAGAGAATGTGGGTGCATGAGATCCTGCCTCTAGAGAGCATTTGGGATAGTTTGTTCTAGTGAAGGACCTATAGTTACACAATTGGGGGTCATTTCTCTTTATTTACTTCCATGCCTGTATGTGTGTGTGTGTGTGTGTGTGTGTGTGTGTGTGTGTGTGTGTGTGTGTGTGTGTGTGTGTGTGTGTGTGTGTGTGTGTGTGTGTGTGTGTGTGTGTACCCTGCATTATTCCTTTCTAATCTCTGGCCCTCAGGATATACATTGCAGTGTGGATTGAGATTGTGCTTTGAATACACTTACAGAAGTTAGAGAGGGAGATGCTTTTCTCACCTCACTGTGAGTTATAATTTACAGTGCAGCTCCGTCAACACACATAGATCAACACTGTGGCAACACTCCAGTCATCATGAGAGAGCAAAGTAAGCACAAATAAAATATGGAGTAATACAAGAGTTTTCTAAACGTCATCAATGCAAAAAGTGACTTCAAAATGAAAATTCAAACCTGTACCTTGACACTCAAGGTCCTTACCTTAATGATTAAACATATTACTTTTTTCCAATTATTTCCTCCAGTGACCATTTGATTACAGTTTACCCTGTAAATAATTGAATTTACTGAGTTTAAATTTATTCAATTAATTTTAAATGGTTCAGTGTTTCCCCTAGGATGGAGTCATAGCAGCGGTGCTAAGGCACGTGCGAAGTGCGCCCCGCCAATTTGTTTCTATGTGTCAGCACAAGAAAGGCTCTTGAGGCCTAGTACCAGGGCCGGTTCTAGACAATTTGCTGCCCTAGGTGAGATTTTAGGCGACATTTTATGTGTAAAGAATAAATGAAAAATCTCTACAAAAGACAAATACACTGCAAAAACAGAAACTTATTGACATACTGTAGGTAATAGACGTCAAAATGGCTTCAAATGTATTCAGTATTGTATGAACATGTTTGAATTGGGGGGTGGACGTCACATCCTCTAGGGGGGTCCGGGGGTATGCCCCCCCCCGGGAAGATTTTTTGGAACATTTTAAAGTAAAATGCTTCAATCTGGTGCACTTTGAGCACACAATTACTAGAGACCTGATCAAGGGGGTACAACTCTAAAACACCCATATGAAAAAGATCGGTTTACATTTTAATAATCAAATAAGTATATGAACATAACCAATAACCTACCATGGCCAATAACAAATACATTTAACTATTTTATTTTTGTTGTTCATTTATATCTTATTTTACCAGTTAACATNAAGGTAATAATTAGTGAAAGGATCTTTTAGCCGATTAGGTTTGGTCAGGTCTGCAGCTTAAGTTGTCATAGGCGCAGTGGACTAGTGCGTTGGTGTTGGGATCAGGTGGTCACAGGTTCAAACCCCACTGCAGTCAGCATGTCGTTGTGTCCCTGAGACACTTCACCCCAAATTGCTCCTGTGGGGATTGTCCACAGTGTTGAGTATGTAAGTCGCTTTGGATAAAAGCGTCTAACAAGTAACATGTAATGTAATGTGATATAGCCAGTTTAAATGAGAGCCACTTTCATAACATGGGAACTCTTTTGGCTCAACACACCAGGCTTACACACTAACCTTGCTTCCCAGTACAGCCCCCTTGTCTCCTCAGCCTTTGAAAGGACAGTGTGTGTTTAGGTGTCCCTGGTAAGGCCTCAGACATGAGTAATGTGTGTGTAAGGGGGGGTCTAAAGCCTTTCTGTGTTCCTCAGGTCAGTTATCTGGAGAAGAAGGTGACAGAGTTGGAGAGCGACAATCTGGCCAACAGTGACCTCAAGTCTAAGCTCAAACAGGAGAACACACACCTTGTCCACAGGTAGGAAAAGTCATTATTGTAGTCATGTTTGTATGTTGTCCTGAAAGTGTTCACAAACAAAAATAACAGGAAGGGTCATAAACCTTCAGTTAGAAAGCAATTATTGGCTTTGGGAAAGCCTGTGGGTCTGGGGGCTTATGGGGAACTCAGAGGGAAAAGGTTTGACAGGCTCCAGCAAACGTAGTACGTCAGAATTCAAATTGAACTGATGATTTTTGTGGTTTTACTTCAGTTTCTCTGCAGACCAGCATGGTGCTTTGCAGTCTACAGTAATCCCATTCATATGGAATTCTGAAATCGGGCATATTTTTTGTTGAATCTGTTTGTTTGTGTCGGTTAGGAATCTGAAACAATCTGTCCCAATTGAAGATGTATTTATTCGACAAGGATATAAGGTCTAACCTCATCTGGAAATCCTACACTTCCATCTTCCATGAGCTTTATTACCAGTGATCTAAAGTAACTAAGTACATTTACTTAAGTACAATTTTGAGAGTACTTTACTTGAGTATTAACATTGTTACAATTCCACTCCACTACAATTCAGAGGTAAATGGTGTACTTCCACTACATTTATTTAAGTTATTATTAGTTACTTTCACATTTTTAATAATGATTTGAATTGAAAAGTCATTCAGACTAGCTGCACCTTTACCAGCTTTGAGAACACTTTAATGATCAATCATTATAAAACATATCATATATATTATTCTGAAATGGACCAATCTGCACAATGACTACTTTTAATGTCGCTACTTTCACTATATTTAGATGCTAATACTTTTCTACTTTTACTTGAGTAACATTTTGGTTGCAGGACTTTTACTGTAACAGAGTGTTCCTACACTGGTACTCAAGTACTAGGTCTGAGTACTTCTTCCAGCTCTGTGAGGTTATGGCTCATGTTGTGCCAGGGTGTTGTTTTGTCCATAAGGGGGTGCTCTGGGTTCATTTCTGTGTTGTGGGTCGCTCTCATAAGATTACAGGAGCTGGAAAGTAAAACATGTATAGCTGAAGTTAAATAAGCTTACAAAATATTCCAGAGAATGCTGTATTGGAGATATATTTCAGAACTGTACACTGCCATACTCTGACTGTGTTCTGATGTCAGGGTGCACGAGCTGGAGGAGCAGGTGAAAGATGCCGAGGCGCGGGCCGACCAGAGTCTGCAGGAGGAGACCAAGAGGCACCGCGAGGCCTACAGCAAGATGGACCGGGACAGGAACCTGGAGATCGACCTGCTCTCTAACAGGTCTGCTCTTCACCAACACATGTGCTGCTGTCTGAGAGCAGTTAGTGCCTCTTTGTGGCACAGCTCACTGACCCAAGCTACAAACCACTATGTATCCTCTGTACCAGGGCATTGGTTTGTCTTCCACTCTTTGATCATTCATTCAGTCAAACTGGATCTATCTTGTCTCTTAATGGTGCTGTGTGTATTTGTAGAAACAGTGTCGCAGCTTCCATCCTGTGTTTCTATCGGCCATTATGGAGACTTTCTTTAAAGTTCTGTCATGTTATTCATTTGACTCACAATTGTGATGCATCTGGTTTACAAGGTTGGATTGATGATAGGCAGCTCGTGAGGTTAATCAAAATCAAATCAAATAGTTTCGATAAACATTGAACTAATGAAATAGTCCTTTACCAGAGCCAAAACAAAGGAAAACAAAAGGGGCAAGACTGTTTCTGTTAGATGATAATGATAAAGAAGGTCACGTTCAAAAATGTCAAATTGAGAACTGTGTCTCGTCGGCGTCTCCCACACCGCTTGCTCATAATATTGTGTGTTAATAGGCTGGCGCTGTGGGAATTGTAGTCTTTTATATTCCATTGATTGCAGACACAGCTGGCGATATTATTTGACAGTTTTTTACAAAAACAAAACTGTCTCTGACACACAGGCTACAGCTGTTAGAAGAAGAGAACGGAGAGATAAAGATAAGTGTGTGCCGACTCAAGTCGCAGACTGAGAAACTGGACCAGGTGAGTGGGACTTTAATATTTGCGTGTGTTTTGCTGTCATTTGTATCTATTTATGAACTACTTTATATTTGAACTACCTTGAACATGTTATGGTGAGATCTGGGAATGTGCCAACATGGCTTAAAAGAACAGACAGAAAAAAAATGCAGAGGTTGGTCCAACTTATTTTGAAGAGAAAACTAATATAGACAGTGAATCCACAGCACCCATCACAGATTACAGATCCACTTTTGGTTGCATAGTTGTTCCAACATCTTGGCACATTTCTCTGGTAGTACAGGATTATTTTAACAAAAATAAATATAGTCCAAACAAGTAACAGTAGAGCAAGTGTTGATTTTGTTTGTGTGTGCAGGAGAAGCAGAGGATGACAGACAAGCTAGAGGACACGGGCCTGAGGCTGAAGGATGAGATGGACCTCTACAGGAAGATCATGGACAAACTGTGGCAGAACCGCCACGAGTTCAACAAGGAGAAGGAGGCCATGCAGGAGGTGAGGCTCAGGAACACACAGATCACCCATCTCTTCATGGAGAGAGTTCAGGAGCAACATTGAACGGTGTCTTCTCTCTGCAGCTGATCGATGACCTGCGCCGCGAGCTGGACTACCTGCAGCTGTTTAAGATGGAGATGGAGCATCCAGGGCAGGGCAAGAGCCTCTCAAGGACCAGAGAGACCGAGATGGAACACGAAGTCAAGAGGCTGAAACAGGTCCTTCTATCTTTTTCTTTTCCCCACTTTCATTCCCAAGAAGGGCTGGGTCACAAGTGTTCTATCACGATATAGTTCATTTTATATAACAATATGTTTCAGATTCCAATATGAATATAATGATATATATCAGGATAGAGGTCATTTCATATCTAGATCATTATGTCCAAATCCAAATCATTGATTTATCCCGGGGGAATTTGGATAGAATCAAAATGGAGTAGAAAATGTACACAAACCACAATAGGGTAAAGTAAGAATCTGCATAAAATGATCACACAAATAAAGATATTTATATAAATATCAAAAGTTAAAGTAAATTGTCCACTAAACGATAGATTGAAATCAAGTACAATTTAAAAAATGTATTTATAATTTCATGGCTGTATAACAACATATTTCATAAAAAAGGTCATTTCAGATCTGTTCATTCTGTGGGCTATTGGGTTTTGTGACACTTGCTTCATTTTAGAATTTAAAAGATAACAAAAAAAAATGAATACAAATCTAAACAAAATAAGTTAAAGTTAGAATTTGCAATAAAAAAAAAAATATATTTATATAAACATACTTTAAGAAGTAAAATGTCAAATAAAAATAAAATAAATGTTTTTTTATTTTCTTTGATGACATATCATGAGGATATGTCATTTCTTATAAAGATAGCATTAGATATCGGGGTAAAGGGTATTTCAAAATGGCGAACTATTTCTTTAAAGAAGAATACTGGGATGAATAAAAGTTTCCTAATCGCGATGCGAGCTCAATTCTACTTTAATGCAGTTGTTAGCATTTTGTCAGATGCTGAGCATACCTGAGCATATTTAATACCTTTAGTCTGTGTGCTGCACAAGGTGGAGAGTTTCCTCACGCTACCCTCTGAAAAGCAGCTGTTCTCTTTTTGCTTCCTCAGGAGAACTTTAAGCTGCGGGATCAGAACGAAGACCTGAACGCTCAGATCCTCAGTCTGAGTTTGTACGAGGCCAGGAACCTGTTCTCCTGTCCGTCCAAGGCCCAGTGCCTGGCCGCCGAGATCGACAACGCATCCAGAGACGAGGTGAGAGCTGCTGGAGGACGGCCTTCATTATGATCTGTAAACTCCTTCATTAACAGGCTTCACATTCTTACAGTTCATGCCATCAACGATTACCACATCTGTGTTTTTATTTACTAAATATTTTCAGGTACATAGAGGTGGGAGAAGTACTCAGATCTTGTACACTTAGTACCAGAGTGTAGGAATACTCTGTAACAGTTAAAGTCCTGCATTCAAAAGGTTACTCAATTAAAAGTACAAAAGTATTATCATCAAAAAATATAGTTTAAGTGCCAAAAGTAAAAGTAGTGATTGTGCAGATTGGTCCATTTCAGAATAATATATATGATATGTTTTCTAATGATTGATCATGAAAGTGTTCTCAAAGCTGGTAAAGGTGCAGCTAGTTTGAATGACTTTAGCCGCTTTCACACCGCAGGACTTGCCGTACTTTAGTGCCGGCACTAAAGTACCACGGCACTGAATCCGCCAGGGGGCTAGTGCCAATCGCATTCACACCGCAGTACTTTCCCTGAGGCAAGATTACGCTGACGTCACTTTGTCTTCTTCTTCTCTGGGTTTACTGGCAGGCCGCAAAACCACTTCACGGCGAGTACAACAAAAAACGAGAGAAGAAGAACTACACGGGGGAGGGGGTATAAAGCCCACCCGCTGTACATGATATATATATATATTATTATATATATATATATTAGGTAGGCTCAGCAGACAGACCGTAGTGCAAAGATAAAGTGTCACATGATTATCTACTAAATAGTGAATTCAGCATCAACTTCAACTTCACCAAGATGAAGTTCATATCTATCTTCCTAAGATACGTGAAGATACTAGAATCCGAGCTCAAATGACTCAAACCAACAAAATGTCCAATCAAAGAATCATGTGCACCATGAGGCTGGGTTATAAGGGTAATTTACAAATAAAATACCCCATTATAACAATGGACTTTATCTTTATGTATTTATTATATATTACCCCCTCAGGCTGATTTTGGAAAAGGACATTAACCGTTGTTTGGTGTTTTTCCCTTATTTATCTAAAACAAATGACATGATAAATTACTTGTGTTTATGTGTGTAAGACTTGTGTTTCTGCCCCTGCCATTGCTGCACAAGGGTTGCAACATTGTAGATAAATTCAACCACCGACACCTGTCTGCTCTCACATTCTTCTATTCTGCAAATTTGGGGTGGGACACAATAAATAAAGCTTCGCCAGTTTGTTTGTTTTATTGCACAGTCAAGACATAACCATAACGGCATCACGCCGCTCAAGTAGCTTTTGTCGAACATCGCTCTAAAACATTTGGAGTTGGGAACTGTTTCTGTAGAAGCTGCTGCATCCCGTCCTCAGAGTAAATTGCCAGAAGCACCGACACTTCCTCATCATTCCACCGCTCCGGTGTTGTAGTACGTGTGGTCATAACTGCTTTAAAGTACAAAAAAACTACTCGCTCAGGTGTGGATGTGGTTTTGTAGCGAGGAAAAAAATTGTTGCCTAACAAAAAAAATTCAGAGTCTAACGGGGCGTGGTTTGCAATTCGCCCAGCCAATAGAAATAGAATAGAAATTGGCACTCTTTTATCACCAGGTTCGTACCACCTCTCTAGCAGGGACTGAAAATGGCCAAAAGAGTTCCCGGCACTGAGTAGTCCCGGCGGTGTGAACGCGACATTATTGGTACTAACGGAACTAAAGAACCAAAGTACCAGGGAAAGTCCTGCGGTGTGAATGCGGCTAATGTCAGAGAGTTTCAGGTTCCGATGAGGTGCTGATGAATTCCTTCAAACCTCCAAGGCGACAAAAAATGAATGCAATAAACCACAAAGACACAAATACAAAATACAAATGCAGACATGTTTGCTTCCAACCAGCCGAACCACTCTAAGTGCTTGTGCATTATTATGGGCTAAAGTGCATCAATGTATTTGTATTTATGTTGAAATGCAAGCTAAACATGTGGGTTTTCAGTTGGCGATGGACGATGTGTTTGATGTTCTGATCAAAGTGTATTTTCTTATAGTATCTATTGCACATCTGTCCGTCCTGGGAGAGGAGAGCGACCCCTCCTCTGGTGCTCTCCTGCTGGATACAGTCAGATTTCAGAAAGTGCTGTGTGGGAGAATCACAAAGTGGTGTCTCAGTGAGGAGGATAGAGATGGATCAGCTCTCTGAGGTCGGTGAATCGTTCAGAATCAGCAGCTCGTTCGTCTCCATCCAGTTCAGTGACGTCTCATCAGACCTGAAAAACACACAGGTCCATCTTTATCCACCCAGCAGTACAACCATGTCTTAAAACAACAACATCTGAAACAGAAAAGGTGGAAAACGTGTTTCTTTCTCTCATTCGGAAAGCTAAATTTAAACACACACAGAAATGTAAAAGGTTAAATGTTGGAGATGAATCCAGCTCTGATAACATCTGTGGGTTTCCTCCCACACTGAACAAATGACTTCAATACCAAGGGTTTCATCAGAGCTGCAGGAACAAAAGGTCACGGTGAATATTTCATGATCACAACAGAACCTGTAATTGATGTAGAACTGCGGGAGGAATATATTTTTTTTTAGAATAGAAGAAGAACAGGAAGAAGAAACCATGTTTTAATTAGACTTCATGTTATTATCTTGTGTTCATTGTCCTCCATTAAACAGATGAAACCTGCAGACTGAGAGGATTAGACCGTTTTTTAATCTGCTGTTTTCATACATTAAGTGATTAATTAAAGCTGAATCTTGTTGTAAGACATGTCACGTTCACGGGGTCTGGATATTCCATGTTCACTTAATAGAAAATAAGCTCAAACAGTCGAGGATAAATGCAAACTGATATAATTGTGAGTTGATCAAAATAAAGCGGACATTTCTTTGGGATTTCAGAATTTCACGGGACTTTCTGTCAGCACTATACAAACAATAATACAAATAATATGTGTTATTTATTATTTTAAGCGACGTACCACAATTTGATTGGTTTGGTTGAGCAGCCTGTTTTTATTTGTCATCGCGAATGATCGTTGCTTGCTAGCGAGCTAACTGTGGCTATCATCACCTCCTTTGAGGACACAGCAGCTGAAATCATAGAGTGTATATGGCCGAAATATAATTGTACACAGTGAATCTCACAGTGTGTTAAGGGAAGGATCCACGTTGAGACCCAGCACCGACTCCGTCCACCACACCTGCAACTCATTAATATTCATGAAGCAGAGAGGAAGGGATAATAAATGACTCGTGTGTTTGTGAGAATAAATGAATAGAAGCCCATTAAACAGATGGTGTCACACACACACACACACACACACACACACACACACACACACACACACACACACACACACACACACACACACACACACACACACACACACACAACACACACACACCACACACACAGCACACCACACACAACACACAGCACACACACCAGGCACACATTCATCATGGTCGCCAAGGAGACTACCTTGTTTGCTCCAGTTTAATAGAACGTGATGGAGTACGCCGCGTGTGTGTGTGTGTGTGTGTGTGTGTGTGTGTGGTGTGTTGTGTGTGTTGTGTGTGTGTGTGTGTGTGTGTGTGGTGTGTTGTGTGTGTGTCAGACTACAAGATTATCTTCACCTTTGAAAAACGAAGAGGTTCAAAAATAAAAATCTCGCACTTTCCTCGCTTTTTCCGCAGCTTTGAATGGATCTGTGGTCTGTTCTCCTCGGGGGGGGAATGAGGTGGCTCAGTGGTGAAGTCAACAATGACCTCAGTGTGAAACACTCCAGTCATGGAGACATCAAGGTATCTTCTCCTCGGGATACCAAAAACCTGTAACCACAAACAAACCTTAACACCTACATTGCGAATCATGTTTTTTGACGGATAATATGATTCTTTCTTTAGCCATTTGTTTACTCGGATTCTGGGAAATAGAAGGGCGGCCTTCTTGTAGCACAATTTAATGTGAGTGTAGAGATATAATGATCAATTAATTGTATCTTATACTTGGACCCCGATATTGGTATTCGTAATATAGGACATGCCTCCAGCTACATCCGTGGGGGGATTCACATGACTGTAATACATTTAGAAATAAATCTAATAAGAACAATCTGTTAAACGACACTTAGAGTAGATCTATAACTGTGTCCTGGTAGCAGCAACGGCTAGTCATTATCACTGGCTGTCTCACACACACACACCACACACACAACAATCACAACACACACACAGTACCACACACACAAACAGACACACAAACACACACACACACACACCACAGCAACACACACACAGACACAGACCACAGAACATACCACACACACACACCCACGACACACAGACACATCACACACACACACACCACACAACAACACACACAACACACACACACACAATTACATCACACACACAACACACAGCCAAACCAGCACACACACAACACCACACCACACAGCACGACACACACAGACACATAAGCACAACACACACACACACAACACACACACACACAACACACCACACACAACACACCAGACACACAGCACAGCACACACACACACACACACACACACACACACACCACACAGCACACACACACACACACACACAAACACACAACAACACCACACACACACACACGACAACACACCCAGCACACACACACACCACACACACATGCTCTCCCAGGCATGCGTTTCGTTTGATCTCGCCTCAGTGTTCATTCTGACTGAACTAAATTATTTAATAGAGAATTGATTGATCGGACTCACCAATTAAACACTTGTTGTTTCAGGTCTCCTCTTCATCACTCCTCCTCTTCTCACTCAGTTGACAATGTCTGATCCTGACTTGACGGTCTTCATCCCTCCTCTCTCTGACCCTCGTCGTGAACATCTGACCTCGCTGCTTCTCCTCCTGCTGCCCTCTGAGACTCCCTGAGGCCCTGATGAACGAAAGAAGAAGAAGAGAAGTCTGAAGAAGTATTTACAGCTCTCCATGGCAGCTGAGTCTGAACCCTCCTGCTATGAACTCCTGGCTGGATGTCTC